AATTGAGTTGTGTAGCTTCGTTTAGGGGCAAATAATGTTAATTTTTTTCTTCCTTTTTTTAGTTGATCTGATGTAAAATGTAACATTTAAAGCAGCATCTCAGTATTTGTTTTTATTTTCCATATTCTGAGGGTTTGTATTGTGTTGGCCTTTTTTTTTTTTTTAAATATTGATTTACTATATTAACTTTTTATCCATGTTCATGTCATTTGGAGACGATTGGTCAGAAATGAATATTTTCTCAGTGTGTTGGAAGTTTGAGTGCATTTAGACAGAAAAAAAGGACAAAAAAAAACTTGTACCCTTGAATGTTCTGTAAATTTATATGCGTATATTATCACTTACTAGCACACCATGTCTCCAAACTCCTTTACAAAATAAATAGTAATATCAAAGTTAAAAAAAAGTTGAAACATTTGAAATAAAATTTTGTCTTATGTCAAAACGTGGGCCTCTACTTCAGTTTCTCATAAGGAATAATCCATTGATTTTCTTTATGAAGTGATGAACAATTATAGCACTATTTGTTATTTGTGGAGATATATGCAAACAATCCTTTTCAAAAGATTGGGGTCATGATTTTTTTTTTTTTAAAGTGTCTCTTCTGCTCACCAAAGCTGCATTTATTTGATCAAAAATACAGTAAAAAATAATGTTGTGAAATATTACTATTTCAAATAACTGTTTTTGTGATTATTTTGTAAAATGTAATTTATTGCTGTGATCAAAGCTGAATTTTCAGCATCCTTACTCCAGTCTTCAGTGTCACATGATCTTCAGAAATCAGTCTAATATGCTGATTTTCTGCTCAAGAAACATTTCTGATTATTATCCATGTTGAAAATAGTTGAGCTGCTCAACATTTTTGTAGAAATCATGAAACATTTTTATTTTCATGATTCATTGATGAATATAAAGTTCAAAAGATCCGAATTTATTAGAAATATAAATCTGTGAATAATATAAATGTAATCCTTGAATAAAATTAATTTCTTTAAAAAAAAAAAAAAAAAAACCTGACCCCAAAACTTTTGAATTGCAGTGCGTTTATTTTGGTTTAAATTTAGTTTGGACAAAAATCTGTGTAGTTTTGGTTTAGTTTGTAATAACTGCATCAATAAGCAAAACACTTGTTTAGTCAAATGAAATATATCAGCAATGTGTTTCTGAGGTGTAGGTGTGGAGCGGTGAATGCTCAGCAGGTGGCGCAGCAAACACAGGCGCTCGCGATCATCTGACTACAGCACATTAACTGCATCGAGTTAATCGATGCACCAGTTTACAGCTTAAACAGCTGGTGCGATTTATCAAGTGATTGAAGAGTGTTTGTCAGAGAGCTCAATAAAGCTCTTTTGAAGCTGACGTCTTACAAGCCCGGGTTTTGACAGCTGTCACGCCGTTTACTGGCGTTCCGGTCAAGATTCACATGCGTTCATTTCGTCTTCTGGGAACAAGCTGTGTGTGCAACATTAATGCAAGATGTAGAAATCAAACACTTTTAATTAGACACGGAATTTCTATGAGTAAATATTGCACAATCTGCACCATCTCAGTGTTATATCTAATGATAAATTGGATGCGTCGAAAGTCAGACGAGTGCATGCACGTGAGAGGTGATGATGACTACAGCTTCCATGCGTTCTTCATCATGGTGATGAAATACTCATCGCTGTCGATAGAAGCACTGACTCCGCTGTAATAGTTCAGGAACTCCTCCAGCGTCACCTGGCACGGGAAGAGATGACAGATTAGTGCGTTATAAACGTGCAAACCCGTCTCATTTCATTAGAACACATACAGCGCATTCTGACTGGCATCAATGAAGATTTTTTTTCTTCCTATTAGTTGCAAGCAGGACTAAAGGCCCGTTCACACCAAGCAGGGCCGTTTCTAACCATAGGCGATCCCTTTTGTCGTCCCCAGATCCTGCTGGTCCTCTAGGCCAGTGAATCTCAACCTTTTGGCGTACCGGACCCCAGTCCAATTCAGAACCATCCTCAAGGACCCCCAGAACAAAATTGACTCATCTATGGATCCTTTGTGTCTTTGTGAGGACCAAATGCAGTCAAGTATAATTCAAGTCGTGTGTATGTGGGGTAAAGCAGCAAAGCTTTTATTATGTCACAGTCGAGCGCTTCCGGTCCTTCCGGTCGTGCGTATGTGGGGTAAAGCAGCGGAGCTTTTATTATGTCACAGTCGAGCGCTTCCGGTCCTTCCGGTCGTGCGTATGTGGGGTAAAGCAGCGGAGCTTTTATTATGCCACAGTCGAGCGCTTCCGGTCCTTCCGGTCGTGCGTATGTGGGGTAAAGCAGCGGAGCTTTTATTATGCCACAGTCGAGTGCTTCCACTGCTTTCGAGCCGTGTGTCACGCTCGTTCAGCGCCTCGTTTCGCTTCGACGGCTTTCAGCCTCACCCTGCTTCATTCTACTACGTTAATAAATCATTAGCTCATCCATGAACATGATTTCTGCCTGAGTCCCGTCGGATTGCTTCGGCTGTGGGGATGAAGACCACAATCCCATGATTCCACACTCAGTCACGGTGTAATCAAACTATGCCTGTGTTTCTTTGTTTGTTTTGAATACGTGCCCTCTAGTGGCAAAAAATGACATATTGTGCCTTTAACTGGACATTACTGCATTAAGTAATAGAAGCATCATCCCTCATTCCACATACAAAGAGGTCATTTACATTAAAGACTTAAATGTTAAGCAGCAAAACAACCTGTTTGATTGTAAAGGTCATAGAAAGAGGGTCAAAATGGTCGTATCATTTCATTATATCTGATTTTGCTGCTAGAAAACTTGACTGATATTATGAGGAAAAAAATTAATTTTAAAAACATTATTTCCTTGCACAATCATAGAACAATAGTTATACTATTGATTGTCTGTCAAAAGGTGCAATTAAGGAATAATTGTGAGAAGGACATGCAAATATATAGTTCACTTTGCAAATATATATATATAAAAAAAAAGATAACTATAACAAAATAATTTGTATATGAAATATATGAAACAATTGTATTAATTTATAAAAGGTGTAATTTTCAGTTATGTATAAATGGTTTGGGTATTTATGTCTTTTGTATAGATTAAGTTTATTAGTGAAAGTGACACTTACTATGAAAAAAAGAGTGGGTTAAAATAAGCTGAGGCTTCAGCCTACACCTTTTTCGTTCAATGTCTAAAATTATGTATTATTACGGAATTGTGTATAAGACTGAAATAATACAAAATCTTGATGATTATAGTAATATCTACTGCAGACCTTTATTAGACTGGAAATGCATTCCACATCCCAAAAATTGGAGGTACCTTTCCATCTTTAGTCATACGGAGAGCCATACGGAAGGCTTGTTCTCCTGTCCACTCTCCGCTCTTGTATTTGGGGTGGTTTTTGCTGTTGTAAACACCCTGTAGATCTTCTATGGTCACAACGCCGTCTCCTGTCTTATCAAACTTCTGAAAAGCCTGATTGATCACCTGTTTCCGTGCGCTCGACATGGGCGGCTGAAGCAAAGAAACAGAACAAGTGGGTTGCACTGAAATTAGAATGATGAAGGTGTTTTTGAGAAATGTTCTGCATCCTCAAAACACGTTCATACCCTTAATTTATCAAGAAAATCATCAAAGTTGATAGTGCCGCTTCCATCCTTGTCCATCATGGCAAAGATCTGCTGTGCTGTGTCCTTCCCCACAGACACGCCGTAGTTCTCCAGCCCCTTCTCGAACTCCTGGAAGTCCAGAGATTTACTGCCATCATCGTCCATCATGCGAAACGTCCTGGAAAAAATAGAGGGAATTTATGTTCTAGGTTAAACTGTTGAACGTAAACATATTTTCATTATTTCTCCCAAATCCTCTACCTTCGTAAAAGCTGAATGAAACAGAAAGACAAATATTTAAATGATTGATCCAAAATCCCTAATTAAGCATATGAACATTTCCACCTACTTTAGCCTAAAAACTTAAGATGAGTTGCTGCCTTCCATTTGTACGCCTAATCAAACTGGTTGCATGTCATTTCGACTTTTTTTTTTAAATATTGACCAGCTGAATCTCTTATAACTTAAAAAAAAAATTAAGCTGAAATCATGAGTTAAAAGAAAAAACATGTTGCCATAACTTACTGATCATAGCATTTTTTTACAGTGTTATAAATTAGAAATTACATTTTTTTCTTTAAAAAGGCTATTTTAAGATTTATTATGCTACGTTCAGATTTTTGCATTAAGGCATTTTCATATTATTTTTCAGATTCTCTCTACTGTCATGATAAAATAATATTTTATGTAAATTGCATATGTAAATAGTTTTTGTGCATTTTTATTGTAATTTGTTGATTTAAATAAAAATCATTGTATTTTTTTACTGTAACAAAATACTACAATAATGACAATCTATTGAGTATCACAACTGAGAATAAAAGTAAAGCATCTGAATGCATAACAGTATACACATTTTATGAGTAATGTGCTTCATTTTCATGAAAAATTTCTGTATGTACAATATAATTTCTTTTGAATTTGGGGTGAAATATGTCTTGGTTTTCCTGAGATTCACCCCATCACTGGTTCAGTCCCTCTGGTGTAACCTGTGAGGTCAATATCTTGCTCAAGGGCACAGTGGTGATAATTCATCATCTGCATTCAGCATCTGCATTAATCAATAATTTTTTTATTTATCTATATCTGTTTTACCTAAGTAACCATAGTTTCTGCCAAATACCGATATTGACGAGTTTGTCAACTACAATTATTATTTCTGCTTTTTTTATATTTTAAAACGATTTAGAATAATATTCAAAGTGTAATACATTTTCAGAATGTTTCTATGAATTTGTATAAAGTCTGTCTGAATGAGTTTTACTGTAGTAACAGTAAACGGTATAATAACCATTTTAGACGAAAGCTAGGTCATTTTGTTTAAGGTGGGAATGCGTGATCACCTGACGCTGAAACGCATTTCTCATTAACTTCAAAATACGGCCTACTGTTTTAAATGAGACATTTTCTGATCTATTCCTCTGTATTTACCATGGTAAACTACGACACTTCAGTACAGGTAAAGAGATTGTCTTCATGTCTGAAGTAGTTTGTAGATCAAGGTAGTTTTTTTTTGAGTATTCTAGAAGCATGTCAAACCCAGTAGGCTAAAGGGAGATTCTCAAGGAAATATATACCGGTACATATCACCTTTCACCCACAAATTATTACTGTAATTCCAATTCCCATTCATTAATTCCCTTTATTCTCAATGATAACTCTCATTTGGTTCACATTAGTAGTTTCTGACTGTGTTATTCTGAAAAATGGCCTATTAACAGATTTCATGAGATTCACCCAAAGGCATTCATGTTGTAAATAACTGGAAATGTTGATATTGCTTTTCTATTAAGATACTCACGTTTAAAGGAGAAGCAGCTGAAATGCTTCTAATTGCTTTCGTCTGTTTTGGAGTGGAAAGTAACAGAGACAAACACCTCGGTTTTGTCAATTTGCACCACTTAGAGGAAGATTAAAATCTTGGACCAACAGAGGAATACTTTATGCTTTCTTGTTTACTGCGTGTCAATGGTTTTAAACATAAACAGGACTTCTCACAGAGCATTAGAGGTTGTGTAGAGTCATTGGATTCATGTGCACAACAGTGATATGCACCAGTGACATTGCAATGAAGTGACCCAGATCTGACGGTCGCCCTACAATGGGCTAAATGTTTACAGCCAATAGCAACAGTTGTATTTGTGGTTGTATTTATCGTGCTTATCACGATTTTCTCTGCACAAGCTTAAATCACCAGTTTCATTTCTGTAAAGATTTTTTGTATGTGCTCGTGCTTTTGAACATTTGTTCAAAACATTTCAGTTAATTATGTGATGGTAAAATCCAAATAATGTGTTAATTACCATGATTTTACAAACGTACTGTGCCAGTAAGAAGTATTCACACCCCCTTGGAAGCTTTCATGTTTTACAACCTTTTTTGACACCGATCAACAGTAAAATATTCTTTCATGTCAACACACATCGCACATCTGGCTGCTACAGGGTTTTTTCCCCTTCATTTGTTCTGTTTAAAAACTACTCAAGCTTGGTCAAGCTTAAATGAAGGTTGTGTGTGAACAGCCTTTTTAAAGTTTGCCTGTAAATTACCATTCAGATTGGGATCTGGGGCCATATTACAAAAACGTTTCTGTTTAGTAAGGCAATTTGTGTTGGAACAACTTTTCAGATCTCAACTTAAGACGGTATTGGTTTCTGTATTACAGCCCCTTGTCTGGTTGGGGTAGTCTAGTTGTCTTTAGTCTCTTGGTGGCCTCCCTTAGATTTACAGCTTCTTGAGTTTCTTATCGATTGATTTAACTGTACACTCTGTGACTTGGAACTCTTCTGGTATATGTTTCCTTCCTTGAGCTTTTCAATTAACTGCTTGGATTGATCTTTTTTTCTTGATGGCGGTTCTGCCAGAGTACTGACTTTCCAGATTGAGGTGTATTTATACTAGAATCAAGCCCCTTGACAACACAAGTGATCTCAATTTAAGTATTTATGTGACCTCTAAACCCAATTGGCCGCAGCAGTGATGGTATAGGTCATATTAAATGGGGTGAATGCTTATGAAATGACTTATTTTGGATTTTACATTCTGAGAATCTGTTTTCGCTTTGATGTTAACGAGTCGTCCACTTATTTATGGTATTGTTTTAATTTTTATAGTTTTTTACTGTCCTTACATCACCCCAATCGCTTAAACATCAAAGCGCTGTAAACAAGATCTCTCCCACCATATTGACTTCTTCTGTTTGTGCCCTGAAGTTGCGGCATTGTAAATCTGCCGTCTACACATCTTGTAGTTGAGCATAAACAGGAAAGTGAATTTAGAAACTCAAGACAAATAAGCAACTTTTTTATGTTTTGTTGTAAGCTGGGTATGTTTATTCAGCCGACTTTAGAAATTCCATTTGGCACAAGTGTAAAGTAATAAATAAGTTTCTGTCTCCCTCCTGAAATATCTAAATATAAATGAAAAGCATCTTGCAATAAATACCGTTTATCCACAATACAGATGCACTGCATCGACATTTCTGCTGTTGGTGTGAAAAAGCCAACACTCCCAAATGCTGATCATGATTAGTTGACATTGGAAATGTAACAATACACACACACACACACACACACACACACACACACACACACACACACACATTTACATTCCTGTAATACTGCCTCAACTCATTTGTACACACAAATAAAGACACTAAAGTACTCCACTCCAATATAAATGGACAGAAGTAGAGTCACTGAACCCCTTGTCTTATTTGCATTAGCCTTTTCAGAGGGGGGCAAAACCTTTACATGCTAGGTGACATCTAGTTTAAAGGAATAGTTGACTCAAAAATGTAAATTTGCTGAAAATGTTCTCACCCTCAGGTCATCCAAAATGTAGATAAGTTTGTTTCTTCAGATTCGGAGAAATGTAGCATTTCATCACTTGCTCAGCAATGGATCCTCTGCAGTGAATGGGTGCCATCAGAATGAGAGTCCAATAAAAACATCACAATAATCCACAAGTAATCCACACCACTCCAGTCCATCAGTTAATGTCTTGTGAAGCCAAAAGCTGTGTTTGTAAGAAACAAATCCATCATTAAGACACTTTTAACTTCAAACCGTTGCTTCTGGCTAAAATATGAGTCCTCTATCCATAGTATTGCTTTCGCCATTCTCATTCTGACGGCACCCATTCACTGCAGAGGACCCACTGGTGAGCAAGTGATGTAAAAATATAAAATTTCTCCAAATCTGTTCCAATAAACAAATAACCTAATCTACATCTTGGATGGCCTGAGGGTGAGAACAATTCTAAGCAAATTGTCATGTTTGGGTGAAGTATTCCTTCAAGTTAATTTAATTTACATATTTTATTCACTGTTTGCAATTTCCCAGAACAAAAAAATAAGAATTTTATTTGCATTGACAGCACTGGTACTGCCTTGTCGAAGCGGGCGAACACCTTCTGTATCCAATTAGCAAGCTTAGACACAGTTTAATCGCTTACTAGGGTTCCAACATTGGCAGGGTGCCCTATATTTCTAAAAACAAATTGAAGACATGTTGTCTTGTCTACTGCTGATATTTCCTCAGGGCAGGATGTACTGATTGTTTAAACTTGAGTAACTTGAGTCCTTGCGCTGGGTTTGACGGTGTGTGGCAAGATCAGAGCAATTCCATTTTCATTCAGAAGGTACATTACATTTTAATTTACAATTCACTTACATAAATGAGACCTGAATTGAAATGTAATTGATCCACGTACAACGATTGCATGCTCCATTAGCTGTTGCCTAGTTTTTACAGTTAATTCCATTAGCTTTGAAGGAAAGACATGTTTAGGGCTTGATGGATCCTGGCGTGAGTCCAATCTCATTTGTAGTTTTGTCCTTAATTACTTCAGAGTTATTCAATTAGACCACAGTCTTTTTCGGCGAGAAACAACAGCATGGATGAAGAAGTTATCTGAACGAATATCAAAAAACGAGAGTTGTAGACGGTGCCATTATCTTAATGCTCTATGAACTGATTTGGGGATTGTGGCTCATTTGATTCAGACCAAATTCAGCTATATCAGATTGTTCAGCACGCTTTGTATATAAACCAGATTTGTCCTTTTGTGTTTCTGACTTACATGGAATATGGTGTAATATATACAGGAGTGGACTGGAATGTAACAGTAAAAAGACTGGCTACACTTTTACAGCATGTTTCTGAAAGGACAAAGCTAAACTTAACACTTAATCCTGTACGTCTGAACAGCTTAGAACTGCTTACAACTCCTCCATTAGTCTCTCCAGCTGTTCATCTTCACACATGCAGTGATCAGTTAACTGTGTTTATGACAGATTTCATGCTCCATAATTAGTCCAGAAACTAAGATAACATAAAGAACATTTTCTAATGGAGGGGTGAAGCATGTGCACTCTAAAAAATAAAGGTTCAAGGGGTTTTTCAGCCTGATGGCATAGGAGAACCATTTAAGCTGCACAAACTTTAGCTATTTAGCTTTAAAGTGCATATGGGTAATTCTCATGAAAATTTGCCAAGGTCACATTTCCACAACTTTATTATATATATATATATATATATATATATATATATATATATATATATATATATATATATACTGTATATATATATATATTTTAAATCAACATAAATTATCAATGCTATCAAATAGTTTACAATTTAAATATTTATTTTCATTAATTTTTCATTAATTTTCTTTTTTCCCCCCTTAATATAATGAGAATGAGTGCAATGAATTGCCAAGAACATAATGTCAAAATAATTAAAAAACAAAAAAAAATAAGATAGATAGATATTTAAACAGACATAATTTTCTTTATGCGAAATATATTGGTTATGCCTTTTCATTTGATTTTAAGATGAAATGACCCATCTTCTTGACAGGTTTTGTGAGATTTAACCCTATTTACTGTTGCTTTAGAACCCCAAAACCAATACGTTGATCTAAAGAATCATGAATTTAATGAATGTTTGATGCACTTGTACAGCAGAAAATGGTTCTTATGAGGACAGATCTTTGTTTAATGTAATGTGCTTCAAACAGCCATTGAAGAACCTTTATTTTTAGGAGTATAATATTCCATCTGAGTAAATAAATGTTACAATTACTCGTCCATAAATGTGTTCAAGGATAATAAATGTAAATGTTTGCTGTTGAGAAGGACTAAACCTGGAATTACTTTACAAAAGACAATGTATCTCGAGTATCATTGTCTAAAAGAATGTAAACATGAACGTGACCATGAGAAAAAATGAATCTTTAAGGTCTTTGAAGGATGACAACTTTGGGGAAACTTTTGAAGGTGTACTCTTCCCTATTTGTCTTTGGAATTGGACAGCCTATTCCTATTAAACTTAAATATCTGGGTATAAATTGTCTCAAGGACGGGATTGGATTTGATCAGACATGCCTTGGCAAGGCTTTAAGGTCAAATTCAGGGGTTTGATATAGTGTGCATATACGTTTCAAGTGACAGTGTTGTTTAAGACAATATCCATCCTTTGAGACTTTTGGTCGAGTAGCATTTCTCTACATGTATACCTCTGATTCATATTTCTGACTAGCGTAATCCCAGGAAGTGGGTGCGGTAGAACAAGATTCATTGCATGTACATTCTTCTAAGGAAACAAACAAAAAAAAGAAACAAAGAAAGAAAGAAATGAGGTAGTTTTTACAGCTGCGTTGCGCTTCATACTTCAGTTTTCAGATTCGTAACAATAGCGAGCAGCATACAGTTGTCGCTGTAGCCCTCTACGTAAATATATATATTTATATCTTTGGATAAATACTACTATATCTGTACTTGTTCGTCTGCAGAAGTTTCCAGTGGAAGGCGCCAGCTTTTGGTCCCATCAAATTAAACCAGCGATCCACCTTTGGTTAAAGTCCAGTGCCCTGTACTAATCAAAAGTGCCAGTAACCACTGAAAAGGCAGAAACAAAACTTTTTCTCATAGTTGCCAAGGCTTTAGACAATTCAGGCCTTGTCTTTTGTGTTTTGTGTATCACTTTTCTGTAGCTTTCACTTTTTCCATGGTGGCATTGTGGATCCCTCTCAGCATCTTTTTGGAAATTGCAATTTGCCCTACGTTCTCGAATAGTTCCATGGTTTTTTGGCCTTTTCCAAAGCTCCTATGGTTACCACGGAATTCTGAAACATTCTCTGTTGCCATGGGAATGTATAGACATTCTCCCTGACGTTTCCATAGTTACCGGAATCTCATACACAACCGCATGCTCTCGCAGAGACGTTCTGGATGGTGTAGAATTTGTCCTTGTTGTCAAAGAAAGACATTTTCTTCTCGAACTTCGTAGGGCGACAACATGGGGCGTACCGCGCCTTGTCTTTTTTTCCATTATCCCGTCCTCGCCGGCCTTTCTCACTGGAGCCGTTATATAACTGCATGTGCTCCATTACAATGTCATAGTTGCGTCGTTCGTGGATGCACTTCCCGCTGCAGTACCTGAAGCGCACCGTCTCGTCGCTCTCGTACCCGAGCCCGAGCTCGCTCACCGTGAGCTCGATCTCGTGTAGAGAGCACGGCTTCGGGCCCTTCCGTGCTCGTTTGGTTCTTCGTCCCGTCTCGACTCTGATCCTCCTCTCCTTACGGTCCACCAGGGTCGCAATCACCTTCTTCAGCTCGCCCTCAGTGAAACTTTGGAAGAGGTACGAGACTAGAGGAGGAAAAACACCCAGATGAGAATACTAATGCTCAGAGGTTACGTTTTCATCATTCAAGAGACTTTAGTGAGTTTGTAAATGTGTACGCTTTCCAAATTTTTGGCTAATGTGCCATTAAACATAATTAACGTGTGTTTGTGTTACTGTGCCGGTAACAAACCTCAGTTCTCAAAGGGCAATTGAATGTCATTAAACCAAAGCCAGGCTAATTTAGCATGGATTCCCTCGGGAGTTTCTGTGGTTTTGGTTTTGGATTTATGAATAAAAATAAGGTCTGTTCACTCTGTTGTTAACCTTACATTAACGTTTAGTTCTACAGCATCAATTATGCACAATCAGCCACTCTGGGTCTGTTTTTTGCTAACAAGTTGCTGTGTAGGCAGTTGCTTGTCAAACATGTAAACTCACATTCTTGTAGTTTTTTTGTACTTGCAAGTTTTACAGCTACAGTATACAGTAATTTACACTACAGTATGTTGTAGAACAAAAATGTGAAAATCTCTTTACTTTACCTTCCAAGCTTATTTTACTCAAAACAAAAAACTTTTCTGGATTTGTGTAAACTCAACAGATTTTCTCATTGAGATTTTCTTCAAACTGTTTCTCTGCCATGATGGTAGTTGATCTGAAAGAAACGGCTCACTGTAGAAGACTGTGCTAATATAGCGATTCTTGTGGGAACACGTACTTGCATTGCATTAGTCTGACACATCTATGCATTCACTTTAGAAGTGTTTGCTTTCTTGTATAGAGTGTGTTTCAAACCTTAGTAATGTTTGCTTTAAGTATCAATTTTGTCTTAGATGTTTTTACTAAAATTCCTTAGAAGTGAAAGTAGACACAAATAAAACAATTGTTGAAATGCAGTAAGAAAATTAGGCCTCGCTGAGGGTGGAAAGCATATTTAATTTGACACAAATGAAAACAAGGCTAAAGTTGGGTTTAGACATGCACCTCATTCTATAGGTTTCTATAGGGCAGCCCTGCTCTGTCACTGAAAAATTTTATATTCACTGATTTTGTAAATGCCTTGCAAACTCATTGCATTCTACATTGTTGTTTCAATTCTGCTGATTTGTCAGAAAAAACAATTTGTTAATCTAGCCGGCTAACACTAATGTGGTTAAAAATGACTTGAAAGCATCACTAAGAATGTGTTACAAAGCATTGTATATCATTGTTTTCCAGCAAAAGTGTGGTTTTGAATTTATAGTGTTAACTGCTGGCCAGAAAAAAAAATCTATATTGTTGAGCCCTGGATTTTATATAGTCCTTTCTGTACTCTTTTTCATTTCCATCTGTGTCTGATTACATTTTTATGGCGTCTACCTTTACTGTGGTCTCTAGAACTATAAAATTAATGTGGATGCTAGGCAATATGTTTGGGCTCTATAGTTAGACTTTTGAAATGTTCAATATGACTGTGTATTATTGACATATCTGAATTTGATTGAAACTTTGGTTTCTTGGCAAATGCGAACACAGTTGGAAACTCTAAAGGCGACATGTGAGTTTAAGTCTTATTTTCAGGAGACACATTTGAGAAGTGGGAAACTTCAGATTCCATGTGCTCTCCATTTAATTCTGTGTAGGTTTTGCAAAAATTAAACATACTTAATAAGTTTTAATAGAAGTGAATCATGTATCAATCTCTAGGGCTTAACCTGCACATTCTGTCAAGGATTCAACGGCTCACTTTAAACAATCAGAGTTGTAAAGCAGGATTATGTCCAGCTTTAAGATGACTTTAGAGCATTTTTTTGGTATTTCGCTACTGCATGCCACTGTTTCTCAACCTTGGCCCTGCAGTACCTAACACTGCACATTTTGTGTGCTTTTCTAATCAAACACACCTGATTCAATTTATTAGCTCGTCTTTAGAGACACCAAGATGGGTGTCAGCTAAGGGAAACATCCAAATGTCTACCAGATTGGGAAACACTGCACTGCTTTTCTTTGCAATCAAAAAGTCAGTCTGGGTGTGTTTTAGGAAAATTTCTTTAGCGTGTAAGTACACGCTTTCAATGTACAGTATAGTGTATGAAGGTGCTGAAGAAAAGATGCAGAAAATATTGTTGATGATAATAAATTCAATTAAATTTAATTCCTCAAATAATCTTCATGAGGTGAACTATTTGTCTTTTTCTACACTTTTGATTGACAGTCCTTACCGTAACAACTTTAAGCACATCCAGCGTAAGACAAGACACAGAAGTCAAAAACATAGTTTTTTCATGCACTGGTTGGTTTTGAGATGTTGTTTCAGACTAATGGAAAGAAAACATCCAAAATATCACTGCTTTTCTTTGCAATCAAAAAGTCAGTCTGGGTGTGTTTTAGGAAAATTTCTTTAGCGTGTAAGTACACGCTTTCAATGTACAGTATAGTGTATGAAGGTGCTGAAGAAAAGATGCAGAAAATATTGTTGATGATAATAAATTCAATTTAATTTAATTCCTCAAATAATCTTCATGAGGTGAACTATTTGTCTTTTTCTACACTTTTGATTGACAGTCCTTACCGTAACAACTTTAAGCACATCCAGCGTAAGACAAGACACCGAAGTCAAAAACATAGTTTTTTCATGCACTGGTCGGTTTTGAGATGTTGTTTCAGACTAATGGAAAGAAAACATCCAAAATACATTTATATATTTATTCTATTGCACTTTTTCTGTTTGTGTCTGTAGATTTAGATTATATTTAAAGTCTGTTTTCTTTACTTCAACAGCACGTACACAGTTTTATTCCTATCTATATCTGGAAGGTTTTTACAGAGGGGTTTGTTCATATATAATTTGCACTGATTTGATAATTTTTTCCCTAAAAGCATGGTGAAAATGCTGAGATCCCCTTTGTAAATCCTTTAACTCTAGTATATGAACAAACTGAAAAAATTATTTTGAACCTGGCTTTGAACCTGGCTTTATCCAATGTTCAGATTTATGTTCTGGAAATTCATGCAAATGAGTGCATATTTAACTACATAATGCATCATCTGCATATTTAAACAACTTTTCAGAAAACTTGTAACAAGAAAGTTTTGCAATTCTTAATGTAATCAGTCAACTGGGGAAGCATGACACAACATGTTGTTTCTTTTGTAAATTCAAGAGCGTCCAAAGTAATTATGTAAAGTATATGTATAGTTAGATTACTCTGTAAATAGGTTTATATAGATTATATGTTAACATAGGTTATATAGGTTATTTCTTTCTTTTATAGGAATATATGTCTGCCTATAGGCTGTGTAGCACCGTGATCCTGTGATGCACGACATTTCGTTCCCACATATTGCAGAATGACAGTAAAGCTAGTTACATTTTCTACTCTTTTCACCTGGGCGGTCTTAAATATCAAGTGAGCTGACAGACACTGTTTGTGTGGTAACTGTGAACCGAATGATAAATGAGGAGTTGTGTGACTGAGCAGCGCTGGCTGCAGAGGCATGTAGTATAAACACAACGGTGACTGTAGAATGATATATTAAATCCTTCCGTCATGTCTGCGTCAACGCTGCCTAATTCACACTGGCGCTGTTGCTAAGGAAAACCAAAAAAAGGTTTCTCTTACAGTCGGAGAGAAGAAAGCCCATGTCCTCCGTGGCTCTGACCCCTCGGCGCGGCGCTGGCTTCCTCGCTGAGGTTGATGAGAGTGAAGATGATGTGGCTGGTGGCTGTGAGGAAGGGTCTGATGAAATCCCTAAGGCCTTTGGGTAGGAGGACCCAACAGGTGACGTGGTTTTCATAAGCAGGAGGAAAAATGAGGCACCAAACAGGATGAAGGCGAGGGTGACCTCTTTCCATACCCTCATCTTAGAGCAGCGTGGAGCATTGAAACTCTGAAAAACATGTCAAAATAAACCCATTAGAAAACTTGTCAATGTCTAGTTAAGCACAGACTGACTTGCTGAGCTTTTTATCAGTCTTTTGAAATATGTGACCCTGGAGCACAAAAGCAGTCATAAGTAGCACAGGTATATTTGTAGCAATAGCCAACTTTACATTGTATGGGTCAAAATGATCGATTTTAGCATTGTATATCATTGTTTTCCAGCAAAAGTGTGGTTTTGAATTTATAGTGTTAACTGCTGGCCAGAAAAAAAAATCTATATTGTTGAGCCCTGGATTTTATATAGTCCTTTCTGTACTCTTTTTCATTTCCATCTGTGTCTGATTACATTTTTATGGCGTCTACCTTTACTGTGGTCTCTAGAACTATAAAATTAATGTGGATGCTAGGCAATATGTTTGGACTCTATAGTTAGACTTTTGAAATGTTCAATATGACTGTGTATTATTGTCATATCTGAATTTGATTGAAACTTTACGATTTTCTCAATATTTAGATTTTTTTTCAGGTTTTCAAATAGTTGTATCTCGGCCAAATATTGCCCTATCCTAACAAACCATACATCAGTGGAAAGCTTATTTATTCAGCTTTCAAAATGTACCCTTATGACTGGTTTTGTGGTCCAGGGTCACATATGTGGCTTTCATCTTATTTATTGAAAGCTTTCAGTGAACTGTAAAAATGTTCCTGAGGAATAGTGGGAAAAAAATGCATGGTTGTAAATGAAAAGTTTGCACAAAAATGGCAGTTTGTCATTGTCTTTTAACGTAGCCACGCAACAAAAGTGGATGATTTGTACTGTTAAAAAGGGCAAAATCCAATACGAAAACACCATCTGAGTGGTCCATATCACTTGTGTGCTATTACTAGTCTTCTGAAGTCACATGATAACTTAAAATTTAACTGGATATGTATATTATTTATGGGTCTGTACTGGACATTATTTAGTTCACTTTGCAACCTTCATCTAATGCTCGTTTAAAGTTAATCTTTAAAAACACTAATAATTTAATTACACTGTTAAATCTAATCTTTAGCTAATACCATTTTAAAATATATTTAATGTACCTGTTTTTCATACTGTGAATTATAATTTAGATGCCTAAATTCAGTTTACTAAAATACAATTAGATTTTAGTCTAGATTTTTGATTTAGACAAAACAGTATAGAACTTTAATATTAATATTTATTTAATATTTACATGAATGTTTATTATTAACATGTAATATGAAATGTTTGTCCATACACAAAAATTGGCATGGAAACAATTTTCACTCAGAAATTGCTAGTAAGTGTCACGATTAATTACAAAGAGCAAATTAAATTACACGTTACATTTTGAAGTAGAAAGACTAACATAAGCTAGAAAGTTGTAAATGAAAGTAAGATTATTGGAGTAAAATATATCAAACAATATTTTTACTGTGTATCAGCCAGAATTTGAATGTCACACATATCTAAATTTAAGTCATTCAATTTTTTTTGTTCCGCAGTGGTGCTCAAATCCGTTTTGTTTTGTTGTGTTTAAACAGGTTGCATCACTATCAGTCATGTGACACAGAAACAAACAGTATTTGGCAGCTGACTGGATGCATCCAAAGGACTATTTTCATACTGATTTTTTTTTCCTTTCCAGAATTCGCCAGTATAAATCCTATAATCCTCTCGAGAATGGCAAAAAATTACAGTTAACGATAACAAAAAGCTAATTTTTTTGAGGGTGAACTAGTATTTTAAGACTGAAGTATGCACTTTTAGGGACTTAACCATTAATGTGTTATACTTTCTTTTCTTTCAACAGCATACGTGGCAAACAGTGTGTGTGTTTTTTTTTTTTTTTTTTTAAATAAGCCTTAAGTACATTATAATACAACCTAAAGAATTACTGTCTGTATTGAAAGGTTCAAGATCTTCGTTTGTGCAGGATAAATAGAATGAGGTTCGTTCTTTCAGGTCATGCTCTTTCTATGCATTCTCTTTCCCCAACTGATTCCTCATCTTCATGAAGGTGTGTCCTTCATAGCATCCACCTGGGTGGAGACCCGACATCATTGTATGCAAGCAAGTCCAAACAATTAGTCCTACTTTTCCTGAGGGGGAATCTTTGTTTGCAGTGATGTTCCATTCAATGCGAGCAGATTTGTGACGATAAACAGACCTCCATTAGTTGTCGAAATTAGACTGGCTGAGATGGAATCTAGAGTTATTTTCTTGCATTTTTCATTAAAATAAAAGTGTTTTATTGGCATTGATGGTTCCATGATGAACTTTCAACATCCATGGAATCTTTCCATTCCATAAACGTTCTTTCGATTTTTTAAATGTTCTTCAAAAGGGTTTGGTTCTATGGCCTTGCTGCCAAAACCCCCTTTTGGAAGCTTTATTTTTGAGAGTGCATGTTTAAAACGAAATGTTACTACAGTGAAGACACTTTTGACCAAAATATTTAATAACCGTACACGCTATGGGTGGAGTTGCTGATGGGCGTTCCAGTTTATGAGAAATCTAAAGTGCTTTCTTCGAATCTTCTATGTGGGCCTGCTGGTATAACGTCCCCTGCCAGATCTATCTGTTGTCTTTTGTTGATTCAGCTAAACACAGATCTAGCATATATCTATGCCTGCATATACACACATATTTTTCTTTCATCCTCTCAAAAGACTGCATTCTATCCCTGCTGAGGAATCTCTTTCCAATCCTGTGTTGTTTTTGCAGTTGAACGTTCTTTTTTTGCTGAAAAGTTTTTGTTTGCATTGCTTTCACTAGTTACTGTTTTCTCTAGAGTAGAAAAGGAAGGTGGAAAACTCTTCCCCAGATGAGGAAATAGCAGATGGGTAACATTTAAGGACAAATCCAGACAGTATATGCTGGAAGTGTTTTGCCAGACTGACTGTATGTATGGTGATCGTACTGGGTCAATGCGGGTCTGGCTACCAAATCATGTTGGTCTAAAGTAGAGATGCTCAAACAGTGCTTGCGTGCCAAAGCTGGCCTATGATGACCTGTAATTTGGTCTGCCAATTAACTTTTTGACTGAGCATTTCTTCTTTTTTTTGCATTGAAATGTAGACAATATGTTAATTTCATTACATCATTAAAATGTAGATTTTCATTTAATGTAGTTGGAAATAATGCAACAGTTACTTTTGGCCCACATCACTCAATAAAGTTAGATTTTTGGCCCTGGTCTAAAGAGTTAATGGGTTGGCTGAGGTTAGGGTGAATTTATAAATAATATATATATATACACACACACACAGGTTTGTTTTTGTGAAAAGTGGGGACATCTCATAGGCGTAATGGTTTTTATACTGTACAGGCCGTATATTCTATTGCCCTACACCAACCCTACCCCTAAACCTACCCCTCACAGGAGACTTTGTGCTATTTCAGATTTTCAATACACTCCATTCTGTGTGATTTATAAGCGTTTTGAAAAGTGGGGACATGGGGTAATGTCCTGAAAAGTCACCTTCTCCTTGTAATACCTATGTCATACCTTTGTCATTATACATATTTATGTCCTCATTTGTCACAAAAACGCACGCACGCACGCACGCACGCGCACACACACACACACAGGTTTGCTTTTGTGGAAAGTGGGGACATCCCATAGGCGTAATGGTTTTTATACTGTACAGACCGTATATTCTATTGCCCTACACCAACTCTACCCCTAAACCTACCCCTTACAGGAAACTTTGTGTTATTTCAGATTTTCAATACACTCCATTCTGTGTGATTTATAAGCATATGCATACATACATATAATATTAGTGGTGTAACAATATTCAAACCAAACCGAAAAACCGTGATACATCACCCATAGTAGGTACCGCGATTCTCTCTTGGCCTACCAAAATGATGGTTTTGAATAGCTTGAATCACTTTGAAAAGGAAGGCACCTTTAAGGGCAACATGTGCAGAACAAATCTGTCATATAGGCTACATAAAATTATAATGAGAACATGTACAAATGGCCTTGCTCACATCCATTAGAAATAGTAAAACATCTGGATGCATTATAATGATAAAAGTTTGGTGGGAAAATGTTATTAATTGTCAGATATAATGTCACAATGCAAAAAAATTGTATTCCTCAAAATAGGTGTGTGTGTGTATATATATATATATATATATATTAGACATTTACATGATTTACCCTGATGGGTATTACTACCCACTTAGCATTACTCCATTACTCACACCACAAGCTATTACTGTCTTTAATAGAAAAGTGAAAGGCTTTTTTTAATAAGTCTGGAATTCAGTGTCTTGACGAGCTTCTCGTGCTGTTGGAAAGCATCTTGTCATTTTTGTTGTGTTCTGGTTTCTTGTTCACTGTGTATTTTGGAAACAACATTATCACTCTCGTCACTTTCTTCACTTGACCAAATATAGATCTGGCACATCTAAACACTTAAAACATCCAACAAATGATAATGAATAGATAATCGTTATTTAAATGAATGTCATAAAAACATGTTCCGGTCATATTTCTACCCAAACTCTCATGAAAACATGGCCAATGTTAGGTAAAAAAAATCATTAAGGTCCTCTAAATAGGTTTCATTTGCATCAATCAAAATGAAAATTTTTTGGGAGATGAATTATGACTTCATCACATTCTTGATTGGTTTAATAAGATTTGTGTATTTTGAAATCCAGGGTAATCCAGGAAGCAAAATGTGTTACAATATACAGCAGAACACTTACGGTTATTTGCCTTTCTGCTTTAATCGTCCTCTAGTTGCAGTACAAATAATCAAACAGCAATTTGAGTTTTCAGAGATGGCCGTTTGATGAACTGGCCTGTTGAGGTGAATCGTTACCATCGGTGGTGTTCTGCTAACTCTATTTACATTGACCGTTATAAACGCAATGGACAATTACATTTGAGACTTACTTCACGCTGATTATTGAGTCTGACATTAATTGCAGTATGTTTGATGAATTATGTTGTTATGATGTCATTGTTGCATTTTAAG